ATATCTCAATCTAATGATTAATAAATTCTCTTTTATAATAACAGTTTAGCAAATCTTTCGCCACACGTTCTTCTTCCTTCTGCAATATCTCTCTCATATCTATTCGTCAATCCTTCTTCACGCACTCCTTTAAACCCAATTCATTCCTTCAACCCTAGTGGACCCAGGATTTAATTTTGGGTGGGAGGGAGGTAAGGAGAGGAGTTTCAGCCCGAAAGCTTTTTCTTTCATACATATACCGATAATTAATTTGAAATGAAAAAGAAAGAAACTAACTAACTATATGGCAAGGTGTTTAAGTGATTCATGAAGTTCTATTAAATTTACACAAACAATAATACTTTAAGAGACAGTTTTAAATATTTTTTTTAATAAAAAACATGCTTATATTTTACCATTTTGGGGGAGGGGCTTCGTCCCGAAAGTCTCTCCACCCCCTCATAGATCCGCCTGTATTCCTTCATCTACTTCATAATGTGGAACATCGATGTAAACAATAATAATTATTACAAAAAATATCATATGGTAGTTGTTAGGTAAACATCAAGCCAGGCAATATGCCTAAAATCAAAACATTATAATTAATCTCTGAATAAAATTATTTTTCATTTCATATCATGTCCTGATAATGAGAAATCGGTGAAACGTTGACTAGTTAGTTATATACATGTTTATATGTTTTATTAATAATATTCTTTTCCTCTGAGGGCCTATTCCTCCAACGATCGCTTCGACTTGATGATTCAGAGAAGGCAGGCATTGTTGTGCAATTGCGTTGATCTAGGGTACGAGCTGCGGAGGGCGTGGCCGAGATCAATACGAACCACCCCAGAGTTCGGGATCTCATCTCCCGCTGTCTGTTGCTAGCCGGTGTCCGTTTCATTGGGTGTCTTTTAACAACGGTCATTTGTCGCCTTTAGAATTTTTTGCTTGGGTTCATTTTCAAGGGAAAGCTGAAAAATAATATAGCTCGAAGCGACAATATTTCACTGCTGTTAATGGTGGAATCCATTACCTCTTGTTATATCCATAAAACTCCGCTATAATGGGTTGCATAATAACCGGTGTTATTAAGATTAAATAAACTGAGTTTATCTTCACCAAAGCTGATAACATAAGCATTAGATAGGAAACTATTCATATTGGTTTAAACACCGGTTGTCAAGATTTCGGAGAATAATTTTTACAAATCTTTAACTTTGTCTATACTTTGGTCGTTAGTAAACTTACCGAAAAATGTATTTATACAGCTTAGGTACTGCTTACCTGTAGTTTAATTAAAATAACGGTTAAGTCTGATCAGCATGTCTATTTATAAAATAAAGTTTACTTGTTGATCCGTGGGAATAATTCGCAAAATATATTGTTTAATAAAAATCAGCAACATTCCATGCCTCTTATCATAACATCATAATATATTGCCCCATTTAACATAATATACCAAAATATTTGTACAAATTATTTTTTAGTGGTCTATTCCTAAATGCGGAGTAATACTAAACATATTCAAAATAAGGCTTCAATGATAGGATTTTATATATTATTAAAAAATATAAAATGTACCCACTAAAAATTTTCTTTAAGAAACAATGTAGTATACAGAAAACAATGTAGTTGAATAGTAAAAGCAGTATCTTCGAAGCGGAAAAAAATTTTATGTATATAAAATAGTCTGTATCTTTAGTGATAATGGTCAGATTTTCACGAATTTTCTTTTGATTTGTAGGCAATTTAGTAATCTTTCTAATAATCATGGGTACAATTAGTGTTCCCCAAATGCGAGACCAAGACGCGTCTTGGTCTTGCGTAAGAGTCTTGCAGTTACATATTAGCCAATTACTATAGAGATATTACTGTAATTTTTCAGAAAATGGAAACCTAAATAAGCTCGAATAAAAAATTGGAAGGGTTAATTGCAAAAATATATTGTTTATACTAGTTCTTTACATATAGTAACTATAATTGTCAAGTATTAGTAACTATTTTGCCTTAATTTTTATTCACAAAAACCAATTTTTTTACCTCGGTCTTGATCTTGCAACAGTCAGGCGGTCTTGGTCTTGCAAAGTACAATCTAGAAAATATGCATACTTTTTCAGTAATTCGCAAATATTGTTTAATTTCCTTCAAATTGTTTCCATTAAACTTCGAGGAGATGTGACTATTTTCACCATCTGAAGGAGAAGGATCTTTAAAATGTGGATTCAATGGTTAGATTTGATGAAGAATTGACGAAGTTATAGGGAAAAAAAAATACCTTTGAGTAATCATATATTAAGATAGTCTTTCTGTTTAAAATGATAACTTTGAAACTAATTACGATATTGAAGAAAATACTATATCGAATTAACAACTTTATAACCTATATATAATGCTTTGTAAACAAATAAAGTATCTGTATTTATGAGGAAGTTATTTATAAAAATCTAAGTTTTAATTTATTTTTCGAAAAAGTGCTATCCGACTGAGATTAGATAATATTTTCTCAAAATCATAATTTAGTGTAAATTGCATTTCAAGACCGACATTAACTTCCATATGGTTATTTTGTCGATCTTTCAGTTCGACATATCGTAGGCGTTCAATCAATCAGTAGTAACTGAATCCCAAATTGTAAATAAATAAAAACAGAAAAATCACATTTCATGTTTACATTTATTTATATTTTTTCATATTTTCAATAAACCATTCAATGCCTCAGTTGTAATTTGATGGATGGATTCATTTCGCCCTCCCATGCATGTTGTTTTTTTCATTAGCTGAATATTCATTTATCAAATGAAATTTACTCCAAAAGGGCATGGCAACTTTTCCCCGAACGCCCACAATATGTTTCCCGAAGGGGCGAGTTGTATAAAGAGGCCATTATCTAAAAATAATGAAAAGTTCATTGTACTACGAGTACTTACAGCCCTGGATGTATTTAAACGAAAAATCATTTCTCCTCTCGACTGCGAGCAATAAACACCCTCTCATTGTGAAATGGTGCTCTATTGTTCACTTTCTTTCACACACGCCGGTTAAAAGTTAATTGTTCGTCCCAGTATACCTGGTTCTCAGCCACTAAATGCTACCAAAAAAAAAAAAATGAATGTCGAGAAATCTCAGTGGAAAATAGAATCTTTTCACCTATTAATATAAGTTGAAATTAAACATTTTATTGTTTTTACTAAAAAACAGTAGAATGTATTCAATTTTTTGCGTTAAAAGAAAGTATATTGTTCTTAAGATGTGTAAACTAGGCTATTACAATAATCTAAGGATTCCTTGTAATTATCGCTAATGATAAATAATGATAGTTATACACTATTTATTTATTCCGGGACTATTCCATTTAGGAACAATCCACCCTAATAATCGGGATACCAAGGGACGCCTCTGTTCCTACCATCGTAATTATTTCCTGGCATCCTTCCTCTTCCAAGTCATTCATCCCACCGCCCTTCATACATCTCCGAGCTCCTTCAATTCAAATCCTCTGTTCGTTCCCGCAATACTCGTTCCCGGTCTTCTGATTTACACATAAGGACCCACCGAACCGCTGCTTTCGACAGATCGTTCATTATCCTATTCTCATTCCTTTCGAACTCCATCCCTTCTCACTTTCGTCAATCCAATACCCTTCCTACCTTTAGATCCAACCTGTTCAATCATTTCTCATCCATCCAGATTCGTTAAGATGAAGCAATATTGTTGATAAAGATATTTCAGAGGAAGATACGGGGCAAGTTTTGATGAGTTGGCATGAATTTTTATAGGAAAGTGACGTATTTCATGTCTGGTATATTTTCATAATTCATCTTGGGTGTGTTTTTATGGTTTATTTTGAAATCGAGAGGAGTAATCCTTTAATTTTTTTTTTCAACCTGAGTTTACTAATCTTAAAAAGAAATAATAGTTAGTATTTCACATATTTTTAATTGTAATCCTTATCTATAATAACTGTTCTGGTATTTAAGTTGTTATTTTTATTAGTTTAGTTATTTTGTTTATATATATATATATATATATATATATATATTTACTTTTAGTATTATTATTCTGTATTATTTATTTTTATTTACTGTAAATAGAGTGTGAATGTGATCTCTGAACAGTATTATGTATGTCCTTAATTGTGATAAATTGCAATATTTCTCTATATATAAGTGTCAAAAATATATATATCTACAATAATGACGGTTAGTTGTGTACCTAGGCTTTCATTACGTTTTGAATCAAGTGCAACGCCTTCAGTGTACGCACAATGGGGTTTGCGGTCTGCTGTCATAGGAATTGTTGCCTGTCATAGGAAATGGAGTCTTACAAGGTTTTCTTTTTTTCCTCTTATAAGCTGCCCTGCACTATGTATCTTTATCTATAAATGATGACATGTCACATGTTCTTGTTCGTCTAATATGTTCATCGATGGTCGTTGTAGTCACATGTGGTATTCATCTGATGTGTCACAGATTTAATCTAAGATAACGGTTGACGCTCGTGGTTGTTGAGAATAAAACATTCTTATCAAGATCGAACTTAGCAAAATGATCATTGTTTATTCAGTTGTTAATTATTACGACATTTTCTTTTTATTCCTATGCATATGAACGAGGACGTGAGACACACATAAATTCACTTTTCCTTTTACGTTATTCATTTTAATATTAATGGCCGGGAAGAACACGCGCCGTACCCGAACGAGGGCAGGTTGGGAACTATCCTGGCTCGAGTCCAATGCAGGACTGACCTATATCTCATGGGGTACTCGATATCTTCGCCGCAGTCGGGAAATTTTCTTCTGTTATAACCGAGCAGATTACATCTCGAGAGTTATAGTTTTGTTATGAATTCACGTTACTGTTTATAGTTATTTTTTTAATCTAAATCTACCGTTAGTGTTTCGTACTGTAATATTCATATTTGAATTGAGATTGGAAAGGAATTTATCCTACTGTTAATATAATTGTATATGTATTATATGATGGATATATTTCGTGGATGTGTTAAGAATATAATAGTTAATGCTTAAGTGGCTTGGCCGTGTGATGAGGATAAGCTAGGAAAGAGTGGCTCATAAATAGTATATTAGCGTTCCGGAAGGTGTGCGGCGAAGTGGTAGGCTGAAGGACGGATGGAGGGATCTTAGACAACTGAGGATTCCTGTTACCCTTATAGAAGATGGAGAAAGATGGTAGGCGGCTGTTGAGCAGACTAAGGGTAGCTTCATGCGCCTGTTGTGCCAATAAAAGAAGAAGAAGAAGGAGAATGTAATGATGTTTCTCGATGTACTAAGATTATGAAGGTTGGTGACGCAAAGTATGGTGGTATATGGATAAAGCGGTCAGATAGTTTAAATAAAAAAAAAACTTTTGTTTAAAAAGAACGGGTTTATTTATTAAAAACTAGTTCTAGAGAACTCTTATCTATCTCTTTTCCAAAAATAAATAAAAATATTAATTTTTCATGACAGTTAATGATTTTAAAAGAAGTTCCCGCATAACAGATTTTAATAAACGTGCTGCAGGCTTAATGTACTGCTGCATTTGACAAATCACTCCTTATCTGATCCTCATCAATCTGGAATTTCATTCCATTCTCCATTCATGGTTCCTACTCTTTCACTTTAAAATCTCACCTGTTTTATCATCTACTATCCACTATGTCCCTCAAGATTTGTAATTTTTTTTTTTTTCATTTACAGTCTTGAATTCTAAATTTGCATATTTACATTTTTTGGCTTTTTAGATTTTTCAGAAGCTTTATTTTTTAATTTAAATGATTATTTCTATTTATTTATTATTTATTATTCGAAGTCTGTAATGTTTCCTCAGATAATTGTACTAGTATTCTAAACGGATTCGTCCTTGGATGTATAAAATCTTATTTTTGTTTCAAAAGAGCACCATACAATTTATGGTAAATTTTTAAAATTAAAAAATATGCATAAGGTGTAATACTATTCAGCCTTCTGTTATAGCCTTTTGAAACAGTTCATGTAATTTTTACTCTGATATTTTACAGATGTCGTTAAGCATGTTTTTTTTTCATATTTATGGTCCTGAGAAGGTTCAAGGTCTTGGAATTCTCCTTTTTCTACATGTTAAGGATGTATATTTATGAAGGGCTCTGATCCATATCTAATGCGAAAAAATATGTGTGGAGCGTTGACGATAGCGAAAAACCAATGCTATAATTCTGCTCAAAACAAAAAGGGAGAAATTTTCTAAATTTAATTTCTTACATGTAGAAGGTGTTACTTTTTTGTTATTGGTTTCTATTAGATGTTATCCATAAAACTGTAGGTGCAAATAATTGTTTATGTATATGAAAATTTGATGATGAATCAAGATTTTATACTGAATCTACCTAGAAACTTCTTGGTTGAAATAAGAAAAAAAATTTCAGAGATAATAATAGAGTGTATAAAAAAAATGACCATTTTTCAACCAAATATTCGTATTACTGTTTCTTTGATATAAAATACAATTAATACTCAAAGCATACTCCATTGTTATCTACCGTCATTAGCCATCTGCTGATCCCATTCTTTAGGATGGTTGTCAAAGACCTCTTGGGCCGCAACTTCAACTTCCCCAAAATTATAATTTGTTTTCCTTTTTGAAGAAAATGGGCTATGGATCTAAGTAAGTAGTAATCCGATGGCGTGAGGTCTTGACTATATGATGAATGAGGCAGGATTTTTTAGGCAAGGGGTTTTCAATCAATTTTCCCAAATTTCTAACCTTTCAGCTGATTGCTGAGGAGTAAGTTTTACTGCTCTTTTTCACTTTCCCCATGGCGAGTAGATGGTGAATATCTTTCGACACATCACACTCCCTGGCAAGTTCGCGAGTACTTGTGTGCTGATTTGACTCAACAGCTTCCTGCAGAACCTCATCAATTAATCTCGGAGCTCTTCTCACTTCCCTTCTTATCTCCACTGCTAATTTTCTCAAACCATCACCACGCTGTGCGCTGGTCTAGGACACCTTCTCCTCTATATTAAATAATTTAACGAGTTACTTCTGTGAATTTTTTTTTTTCAGTAATTTCTTAAAATTACTAGAATTTCGTAGGACACTGTCATGTTTCTTCTTTGATATAAATAACTAAACTGAGGCTCTTTTTGAAGAAGTCGAATGAGATTAAACAAGCTTACAGAATGTTCTAAAGGGTTTATTAAGTATTAGTAATTATTAAATAGGATTAAAATATTTACTGTTCTTTGAAATCTTGAAGTTGATAAAACGGTGTAATTATTAATAATTTAAAAAAAAATATTGGTATAGTATAGTTGGCTCACGGATTTCCTAAAATCAGTTTCTAAATGTTCTGAAACCAAACCAGCTTCAATACAGCTTAGGTATCAGCTTGTGCGGTAGACGGCATGGACCCTACGGCATTTCCTCCCTTCAAAAAGTGATTGACCTGATGACCAAAAAGACCCCCCTTCTACGAAGACCCGCTGATAGGACCAGGTTGGAACAATGCCGGCAAGACTCGAACCCGAGGAAGGCTTTGTTAGCGGTGGAAGCCCGACCTTGCAGTGCGGCGGTCCATTGTGCCCTTCAAGGTGACAACACTCGATCTCTTTATGGCGCACTTCTAGGAGCTGTCTTTTCTCTGGGGGCACGTTCTAGTCCTCTCACGTTGCGAGAAATATTTCTACAATAAAAAAAGAAAGGTTACTCAGTTCTCACGTTATAGTTGAAAGATTCCAAAACACATATTCACTCAAATGTCGTGAATACGGTTTCCGATCCATTGAAATGTTCCCATACTGGGTCACTCTTACGATGAAGTATAACATTTTACTTACAAGGGGAGGCCACGAACATGAGTTCATCGATTCTTATGAAAAATTTTTTGGTGACAGTCGGCTCTCGTTAATTCGAAATCCCAAAGACTACAAGAAAAAATTAAATTATCGAAATTTCGAATTATCAAGAAGTTTGAATTTTCAAGAGAAAAGAAACAGATTAGCAGTTTTTATTTATTTATTTTCTAAATATGTATTAGCTTATGAAAAATTTAAAGAAGAACCGAAAAATTACATATTGATATGCAGTAGATAATAACATACCTAATAGAAAATATTAAGAATTGTTTTTCAATGTGACTTGTCCTCAATGGCTCTTGTCAAAAGCATTTTACAGTCACCAGCGTTCAGAAAACTGCGTCGTTAACTTCTGTTTCCATCATAAAATTTCGCTGAGTGTCAAGTGATTTTTCAAGTGATCCTCTGGCTGTTGCATTCGGTCTTGGTTCTCCTTTGTCAACTTCGTCTTGGTCGTTGGCATAATTTTCGTTAGAAGCCAAAAATTCATAAATTACTCATGTGTCATTCATAATTCATAAATCATGTGTCTGATAAATTACTAAATTTATTTTTTGTCGGACACAGGGAGACTTGCACTCATCATGACAAACTAATGAGAAGGTACGCTGGGCTGAAATGAGCTAAAAATGACTCAGAAAATAAGGAGTAAACATTGCTAAAAAAATTTGATATATTCAAAGAGGGCACAGGCGGATCTACGGGGGGGGAGGGGCGCTTTCGGGCTAAAGTCCCCCTAAAGTATTAAAAAAGTATTCAAAAATTATCTTTTAATGTATTATTGTTCGTACAATTATATGTAATATAAATTCAAGAATTACTAAAACACCATTTTATATAGGTAGTTAGTATTTTTCTAAAGTAATTAACGTTATATAAATGAAAAAAAAAAAGCTTTCGGGCTGAAGCCCCCCTCCAAAATTAAATCCTGGATCCGCTAGTGAAAGAGGAGAAATGGCCTAGTACGAATTATAGAACGTTTTCTTCCTCACCTGTTACTAAATGGATTTCGAGTTATCGAGCGTTTCAAAATATGGCATTTTTTTTCGTAGTTAACAGTTGAAGAGTTCAAATTATTAAAAAAAATAGAATTGTTCCCTAGAAGAAGTGGACATTTTTTTAAAATAAATTTTAACATAATTTTATGATATTGTTCTTTTGGGGAGCTTATTAAGGGCCTAAAACTACTGAGTCATCAACGCTTGTTGGTTTACCTTGATTTATTTCGTATCTGTTGGTTATCCACCAGTCCGAGTCCGACAGAGCACCAACCAGAGACGTCCCCAAAGTTGCAAGAGTCCAGAAGGCGCTAAAGTCCCACACCTCAGATGGTGTAAAACTTATACTGTTTTGTCTTTGATAACAAATCGATACCAAATCGCTTTTTTTTTTTTTTTTTTTTTTTTTTTTTTTTTTTTTTTTTTTATATAAAATAAGAAAAACGTTTTGTTAAATGTATTAAACTTAAACGAATCCAAATAAATATTTATACAATAAATTACAAAAACCAAAAGATACTTCCAGCAAATACTTGTCGTAATATAGCAATTAAGGTTAGTAGTTAGCGTATTTTAAAACTCTTAATACGAGTCTATTTTATAATAAAAAAATATATATTTATTTATTTATGGACTAATTTTATGACAGGATTTTTTTTCATGTGGTTACTAAAATATTCATCACTCCTCAGGCTTTTTTCCTATTTTAACGTTACAATAGCCATTGGAAAGCTGAATTATTATTTCTCCAAACCATACCAGTAACCTCCAGATTTTACGCCTTTATAAGTAATTATGTAAGGTCTAAATTTATCTTGCAACTAATAATGAGACATTCAATGTGGCTTAATCACTTGAAAAGTTATTCTAAATTTAAATGTGAAATAATCTTCTTGGGAAATCTTTTATTTATTTTGCCAGGAAAGCTATCTTATCGAGAACTCTGCGTTTTTATCAGGTGATTGCTCATTCTCTTTTAATGTTAACAATTCCGTTGAAGGAACATACGACATATTAAATCATAGAATATAATTTAAGCCTTTGTACCCACCAAGAATGTATTCTTGCCTTCCAGAGTTGCGGTGACACTGTTTTATGTACCGGGGACTAGTAAAGTAACTGCTTTTACTTTAAAACATCCCAATCCCGTCATCGTTTCGGTAATTAAACATAGACATGTTTATTCGCATGCGTCATGGTTGGTTCCTCCGAAAAAAAGCGTGTTGAACCTCCTTCCCGTTAAGCAATGAGCAACTTGTGCGCAATGTGTTCGCATCGGATATAAATAGTGTATGACCTCTTTGGCGTGATAAGAATCTCTTAAACATCCTAAATACTTCTTGTTGAATTTTATTGAATGGATTGCGAGGAATTTCTGGAAAATGTTTTCATAGTGATACATAAATTCTGTGTTGCAATAATTTGATTAGAATATCGGCTTTTAAATGTATTGTTTTTGTAATTGGAGGATGTATAGAAAATTGGAGGTAGCTTCATTCAGGAAGCAGCTAAATGCACTGTTTTTTCGTCATAAAATATTACTTTCGTTTCAGACCAGAAATTTATTGCTTCAATCATTAGTTCTCTTGTTATTCAGTGTATGAAGAAATTATTTTTTTCCTGAAAATAGTACGAAAAGCTATAAAAATTTAATGGAACAAGCACGTAAAAATGCTGCACGAAATAATTGGACGAAATGTGTGGTTTTGCGATATATTACTATTAGTAAACGCACCATATGGGCCTCGCTGCACACATGGGAAATGTTAAACTTAAAAAATCATTATCATTAAATTTAAGGCGTAAAGCAATATATATATATTATTTTCACTTGGCGCTACAGACCTTGAAAGTGCTAACTAACCACGCTCGGCGTTGCTTAACTTGGTTACCAATTGCAAGCTGTTTAGCCCGTACGTCTACCCCTACACCTAAGTAATATATATATATATATATATATATATATATATATATATATATATTATATATACATTTTAAAAGTAAACTGGTCATATATTTTGTAATAAAAGAGATATATCTCCTACTTATGTTACATCATCTGGAAGAAATAATTCTGACTGAAAATGGTTTCCTGATAACGTCGGTATTGTAAAAAAATCATTAAGAACAGTTGCTTGTTCTAAACTTTTTAGTAGGTTTTTATGAATTTCGATATTATTTTTGTGATACAAAATCACCGCTAGGGCATCAGAATGACACAAATCATTGTATGCACGGGCGGATCTACGGGGGGAGGGCTTTCGGGCTGAAGCCCTTCCCCCAAAATGGTAATGGTTATCACCACGTTTTATAAAAAAAAAAATATTAAAAAAGTATCTCTTAAAGTATTATTGTTCATGTAATTACATTTAAAAGGGCTCTAGGAATCACTTAAACACCATTTCATATAAGTAGTTAGCTTCTTTCTTTTTTCCCAAAGTAATTATCGTTATTTTTATGAAAAAAAAACTTTCGGGCTGAAGCCCCCCAAAAATAAATCCTGGATCCGCTAGTGATTGTATGTATTAACGAAATGTTCTGATTTCACATGGAAAAAAATCATCATAGTACTTCGGAATTAAATTTTAAGATACGTTTGCGATTTTGAAGAATTTAATGAAATTAGTAAAAAAAAAGTGTTCATTTAACTTAAATTTTGAATTTTTGACGTTTTTTTTTTCTTTTACTCCATTTCCATGGTTACTCAATTTTTACAATAAACCCTTAAATTAGTTATTAAATTTAAAATACCAGTGGCTTAAAGGAAAGCGCCTAGAATGCCAAACGAAATTCAATAAATTGATATATTTTTCATTTTTAGGCTCCAAAAAGAATTTGATTGCACTACTTTAAAGTACACAATAAGAAGTGGGGGAGAAAGTTTTTTGGATGCGGAATTAGTCTGGATTTATGGCAAGGACGGTAATCTTGAAAATATTTTTGGATGCCATTCAACTTAACTTTGCCACTGCATCAATGGGTTCCATCTACAACTCTATAATACAATTAAAACAAATTTTATTAAAGGAAACCACTTATTTATACTACGGGAAATTAAAATTTTAATTATTTTTTCTTGTTGCATATTGAAAAATCTCTTTATTAATAAAAAATATTATTAAATATAACACCACTCATCATTGCATTAGTTGCTACACTTCAAAGTTGTAGTAAATTGGACTTGACAATTTTTTTGAAGTAATTCCTCAACCTTTCACAATATCGTCAGTTATTTCATTTTATCTTTTTCTCGTTTTAATTTTTAGGATGATGTTTTTACGGACCCAAAAAGTTTCCAAATCAATCGTATTTTACAAGGAATATTAAGATTTTGTAAGTGCTCAAGAATGGATTACTTGCCTTTTCAAAACAAGTTGTTGATCACTTTATTTAAAAAAAAAAAAAAATATATTGCTAGAAATAGGAGCTAGAAAACATAAATTTACGAGATGAAATATTATGTAGAGATAAAGTAGCTACCGAACGTGACCAGAATTCATGAGATTTCTTGCGCTTGGAGCCCATATTTTCAAAAACATTAATCTTCTTGGGGAATAAAAACAGTTTTGAAAGTTTAATTTGGTTGACGCTAGCTTTTTTAAATACCTTTTTTTATAAGATATAATTTTTCATAGATATTTCGAATCGATGGTGAAAGTTACTATAATGTTAAGAAACAGAAGCTAGAAAAGAGTGAACAAAATAATAGGTAATATGTTAGACCTGTTCAAGAAGGTCACTGCGGGTTAATTGGATACTATTGCGTGGGGCATGGGGGATGGAAATTTGTGAAGGTAACATTTGATTATCTGTAATCGATAGAGTGTGTATATGAGGTT